TAATACATAATTCCTCAACAGTTGCGATGTAACTTGGTTTACATTCAGGGCACATTCAGACTGTGAGAGGCATGGGGAAGTTCCTTAAGGTAAAGTGTAATCTGAGTTGCAAGTCAATAAGGGACAGCAGCTGAAGAAGCCATGAAGGTGTGCAAGAAGTTACTTCCGGCCATGAAGGAATGTGAAGCTGATAAAGCTCTGCAGAATGGATATATACACACACACATATTTCTGGTTTCATGGTGGAGATTCTTGTGCCCCTTAAGAATGGGAAATGTGTTGCTTTTCTTGCTCGGTCGAAAACTTCATCCACACAAACCAATTTCAGCAGACTCCTCCAACAGGGTGAATTGGCAACATGATGGAATGTTGCATCCTGAAGAAAGAAAACTAAACTAACCTGCTTAGTTTTGAAACTGAATCATTGCAGGGTTTGTTTTTTTCCCTTCCAGGACAGTTAACAATTGCGGCTAGTTTAAAGGCACAGTTAAGTAGTTATGTAGAAGTGGAAGTGTCTGAAGGTCATTTAACTCAATCCTTTCCCACAGGGACACAGCACACTTTAGTTCACATTTCAAGCAGACAAATTTAATTGAAAATCATAATTTGCTTTTCTAATTAAGGAGGAGTTACAATGAAACCAAACAGTGGTTCTTCTTATGTAAAATTACGTATGAGGCTTTTTTCTGGGACAGGGTGAAAACACTTGCTAAAAAGCCCAATATGCCCTTAAAATACGCTGTAAATTTTTACTTGCTTGCTTATTAGTAGTCATAGAACCTGAAATCCTTCCAGTCCACCGCCTTACCCAGAGGCAGGATCTTCCACTATCAAACCACTCTTGCAGATCATATCTAAATTATAGTTTGGTATAATTGTAGAGCAGGTGAGACTAAGATGCTGGAAGCTCCTGTGAGGCAGGCCCTTAATGGAGATTTTTTTTTTATATGGATGTCATTGAATATCTTCCATGATTTTAAACTTCTGCTTTTCTCAGTTTACTGACATTCTGTTGAGGCTATTAGGCCATGACAATGTTGTAGGTAAAGTATTGGTTGAAGTGACAAGGAGCTATCATCTTTTTGTCAAAAAGAGGGATGCAGCATTCTCTGCAAGCAAGCAGGGTCAGCAGAGGCTCTTGAGCAGTGTCACTTTATGACTGTTTCTATTGAATGTTCTTTGGCTAATTACATTTCAGTTTGGATTAGACAATGGAGTGTGGTTGCTTGGTGGCAGGGAGGTCAGACTTTTAAAACCAGCCCGTAGTGGCTTGTTTGAGGTCTTCTATGAATGTTTTAGGGACTGATGAGTTAGGAAGATAAACGAGCACTTTTGAAGTGGAAGGAATGTGATATTTCCTCAAATCCATAGCTTGCATTCAGATGTCATGAGCATGGATCTGGTTTATTCCTGGACTCGTGTGCTCCCTCTCTCCAGCTCTCACGCACAGATCCAAGTTTGAAGTCCTCTTGTCTTTCCATCTAACCCTAGTTCATTGTGGTGTTCAGATGTGGCTGTTACTTTCTGAGTATTGGGGATTCTAAATCACAGTTTAGAATTGGTTTAGACTCCCAGTTATTCAAAAAGAAACATACTCGCCCTTGACCTGGATAGCCCAGGCAAGCCAAATCTTGTCAGATCTCGGAAGCTAAGCAGGGCTGACCCTGGCAAGTACTTAGAAGGGAGACCTCCAAGGAATACCAGGGCTAGGATGCAGAGGCAGGCAACAGTGAGCCACCTCTCTGAAACATCCAAACCCCATTAGGGGTCACCAGAAGTCAGCCATAACTTCCAGGCATACACGCACACAAAATACTTACCCCCCCCCAAAAAAAAAACCCAAAAGAAACATACTCCAGTTTATGAAAACACCCACATTTGGAAGTTATAACAAACTAGAGTTCGGTCGAAGATAAAGATCTTAAACAAGGAAGATTTAAATCACAGCTGCACATACAAGAGGAGGAGAAAAGGAAAGGGAGCATTGAAACCCGAGGATATGGGGCATGCGCTCATCATGAATAAACTCTGATTTGTTTGTGATGTCTGAAGAGAGCCATAGTGTTTAGTCACACAGAGGCAGGCAGAAACAGCAGTAGTCCAAGCTGTCGTGGTCCATATTGGAGCTGCAAGTGGGCTGTGAATGAATGAGTCAGTCTGCCATCCTGCTGTGGAACCTGGCAGGCAGCCAACATCAAGGTCAGAAGGTAAGCAGCAGGGCTTGTAGTAGGGCCATGGATGTGAGTTAAGCTGTTGTGTCTGAGCAGACCTGCCTAGGTGTCTATAAAATTCCTAAAGAGCTGACAAATCTATTTGGCATTAGCAGTAGCTTGCTTTTTTTTTTTTAAACCATGTTTTGTGCCTGCCTCTCTTTTATCTTTGTCTTATTATTGGACTCTGTATAGTTGTAAAAAACACTTAAAGTGATGGATTTTTATGTACTCTTGGAAGCACTGGGAACATGTTTCAGATTCCTAGGCACCAGTATCACATTTTTAGGCACCCGGGACTTTTTCAGGGTTGTCTCACGGATTTTAAGCTAAATGTTCTGGATTGTGTGTTGCATAGCAATGATGACTTGGCTTGTTAGGCATGCAGAGCTCTGGGAATGCCAGTTGTCTTACAAAAGAATAAACGGAGAGATTTCTCTTGATCTCCTGTCCTGTTTAGTGTAAATGAAAGCAATGGATAGGTGGGCAGGGTGACCAAGACAATATGAATAGAGGCAGCTGTCCTATAGACCCCGTGGGTAACTACCTTTTCTGGACAGCCATTATGAGAAAGCAAGGGATGTTAGGTGGGTGGGGAGCTGAACTCCCACCCCATGGACGTCTCTGTCTTCTGTAAGTTAGGAAACAGACCAATCTTTTTCTTGATGTTTAACTGACACCATCCATTGTTTGTCGAAAAGAGCAAAACAGGATGGCAAGTTGGTAGCTTTATATATTCATGGTGCTGAGAGTCAGTCATCCAGCATGACCATGACCATAAATGCTTTTAAAGATCCTTTTCATATGGGCTTTTTAGCTCACTTTGTCTTCTGAAGGCAAATAGGCTTTTAAAAAAGGTTTCATACACCTTAAGGGTAAAACATTGTCCTCCTGCAGTTAATGAATCCTTAATCTGGGGTGTGTGTGCATTTCATCTTCTACATGTGTGAAACCTTTAAAAAATCCTTTGCCTGCAGAAGCCATGGATTTAAAAAGTCTGTATGAACAAGACCTTAGCATCAGTTGGCATCAGTTAACTGATGTTGGCATCAGTTAACCATGTGGAAGCTTATCTGCTTCGACTCTATCTCTCGTCGCAGATTGTGGGAGAAGTTATTGAACACCAATATTGACCGCAGACTACTGGGATTGATTATGGCTCTCTATTCTAATACATCTGCCTTGGTCCGGGTGAATTCTTCAGGAGTCAGGACAGACTCTTTTCCAGTGCAGAAGGGAGTTAGACAGGGATGTTTGTTGGCCCCCTCCCTGTTTAACATCTACATTAATGATTTGGTGCCGTTTCTTAAAATGAGAGCCAGACATTCTCCGTATCTAGCTGGTCTTCCTATACCACTTTTACTCTATACTGATGATGCTGTTTTGTTGGCAACATCTGAAGTTGGACTGAGGTCTACTGTCAATGCCTTTCTGGACTATTGCAAACAAGAAGAGCTTGTCGTGAATTATGCAAAGTCCAAGGTTCTTCGCTTCTCTGCTAAGAGAAGAAGAGGTCTTCTGTATCTGAGTAGGCCCTATGCACCTCAGTGGTGTCATGAGGAATCATGATGCCAATGAAAGTCCCACAAATTCTGAATGGAGGATTCTGAATGCATTAGAAACAAGACTGAGCTATTTGGAACCCCCAAATCCCAGGGAGAAATTCAGATGGACCATTTAAGAAACATCCCTAATTCCTTCCCAAACCTGCAGAGTCTGAACCAGAAAGCAAAGGAGCAGGAGGAGGTGGCTGAGAACCAAGGATGGATATAAACACTGGAGAAGAGCTGGCAGGCTTGGGTTGCTGAGTAGGGTTGCCAACCTGCAGTTGGGGCCTAGAGATCTCCTGGAATTATAACTGCCCTCCAGGTGACAGAGACTAGTTCCCCTGAAGCAAATGGCTGTTTTGGAGGGCTGCATGGCATTATCCCAAAGTGAAGTCTCTCCTGTTCCCAAATCCTGCTCTCTTATTTATCTCAAGGAATTTCCCAACCCAGAGTAGGCAACCCTACCGGGGAACAGTGGGGAGCAGAAAGCAGGGGTTTAAATGGCTCCCTGCTTTCTGCTCTTCAGGAACCACTATGAACTGCATCAAAATTAATGGAAGTTCATGGTGGTTGTTCAGTTCACAAACATTGCTTTGCAAACCCTGAACCAGCCAAAATTCATGATGAACTTTAGTTCATGAACTGGTTCATTTCTCTACTGATGGGCCATCCAGGGCAGGGCAGGGATAAACCTTCCATTTCACAATATTAATTGGCCCCAAGTGTAGTTAGGTAATTTTTAATCCCTGGGCTCAGCCTGGGTTTTATGTGATTGTGATTATGCACCTTGTCATATGTTATGTTTATTTTATGTGCTTATTTTATCCCCCTTTTGCATCTTCTCTTGGTCAAGACTTCGGTCATATAGACCTGTAATAAATTGAATTGAATAAATAAAGATTAATTAAAGTTAGACTTTAAAAAAATGTGTACTGATTTTCAAGTAAACTTTTTTGTGTTAAATATTGTATGCTATATTTTTTCAAGGCGTTGCTAATGAAGCCCCTATATTATGATTGTCCACTGGCTATTGAATGGAAGAAACCTTTTTCTCCAAAAAAATGTGTACTGATTTTCAAGTAAACTTTTTTGTGTTAAATATTGTATGCTATATTTTTTCAAGGCGTTGCTAATGAAGCCCCTATATTATGATCGTCCACTGGCTATTGAATGGAAGAAACCTTTTTCTCCTTTTGTTGTTCATTCTTCAGACAGTAATATTATATTATCCTCTTCCATTCAGGATCCTGCCAGGAATGGAGACTCCACTGGATGTTTTGTCAAGAGCAGCATCCCTAGTGCATGCTGATGATGAGAAACGTAAGTCTAAAACTGAACTTATGGCTTCACTCTGAGTCTTGGTAAAGTACAGCTGCTATGTACTTGGTTTGGGTTCTGGCCAATCAGCCTTCCACAGTTTCAAGATAAAATGCATACATGAATAGAAATTATTTAAGAATTTTTTTAGTCTGTAAGAGACTTCTAAATGGATTCACTCTGTGCTATCAGTTTATTGTCTTTCTCGTAGAGCTTTGCATGCATGTGACGGAGAACAATTGTTGAAATTCTGTTAATTTAGAAAGTGTTATATAATTTTTTTTTTTTTGCTATCAAGTCACAGATGATTTATGGCAACTCTGTGGGGTTTTCAAGGCAAGAGACGTTCGGAGGTATTTTGCCATTGGCTGCCTCTCTGTAGTGTCCCTGGACTTCCTTGGTGGTCTCCCATTCAAACACTAGCCAAGGCCAACCCCGCTTGGCTTGTAAGATCCGATGAGATCAGGCTATCCAGGTCAGGGCATTATACAAGTTCCAGGGGGAAATCACTAATAGTTCCTCCAAAGTAGACCAGTTGCAAAGTAACTTACAATGATACAAATGACGATTCAGAAAACTAGCTTTTGTTTTTTTCAGGATGAAATAAGAACACCAATGGCAGCCTTCGCCTAGCGTTCTGTTAAAATCCCACTTTGAGACGTCCCTTGCTTTTTCATAGCCAGTCGACATTAGACTTGCATAAGAGCCACAGCTTTGCTACTGCATTGTCAAAAGATGCCATGGTGTTACTCTTGGTGCAGATGTTTAGAATTGCAATATCACTATGAAGGGTTAATCGAGAGTTATAGCGAACAGGTGATTGGATCGCCTCCTGTTATCCGTTGAAGATTAAGGGAGACTTTTTAGTTACTTACTAGGTTCTGTCTTAGGCTGCATCCATTTTCAGTGCATAAACTATACCACCACAACAAGCTTTGTGAACTGCTAGTGAAAATGAAACCAGGTGCCAAAAAAAGTGAAGCTGGAAGAATTCCCATATAAACCATTTCAAACATTGATGTTGACATTGACCTGTGATTGTTTGTTTCTAACACTCAGTGGGCACTGTACAAATAGTTACCAACAAACAATAGTGATGGTTATTTGCCTATTTTGTTGACTTAAGGTTATTCATCTCTTGATTAATCAATATTCTTACATATGAACTGGTTTCTTCAGTTCTATAATTCTTCTGTAGGCTTTGCCCTGTGTTCCAACTCTGCCTGTTCTGTATTTTATAATTCTTTTGCAGGCTTCACCCTCTGTTCTCTTCTGTGTACTTGACATGGAGAATCTGTAGAAAGAATTTGAGGAATAGTATATATACACTGACAGTATGCTATTGCTGCATCTTTCCCTTTGTGCATATTTGTGTGTTCTAGGTAGGCTGTGTACATGAGTTTTTATGTGCATTAAAGGTCCAGACTTGTTAAGTCATATGCTAGTGTGTATCCTAATGTT